GACCAGATTTCCTTTGGCAAAGGGACCCAACACCAACAGAGATAACTGAGATGTACCCGAGTGGAGCATCTTCTTAATCCGTGATGATGACCCCGAGGTCCACAAAGAAGCCAAAGTCCATGCTACAGATGTTGCAGACCATAGACTGACTACCAGCACTTGGGCTGCGAGCGATTCAAACAATTTTTTACCTGGACTTCTCTGAGGAGAGCAGTGGCAACTCTGATAGCTAAGTTGGATGCTTTCAAGCAGAGGCAACCCAACGGCTCTACCAACGCAACATCACCCAACGACCAAAATGACACACGCAGAAAGGCGACGCTGGATGAACTGCAACAAGCGGAAACATTGATTTTCCGTGCAGTACAAAGACAGCACTTCCACAACGAGCTAGACTGCCTCAAATCAGTTACTAAAGGCAATCGAACCCCATACAATCTGGTGAATAAGAAAAGTCCTATCAACTCACTCAGCCCATTTCTTGATGAAGATGGACTCATCAGAGTTGGAGGGAGACTTTGACAAGCAGACCTCCTGTTAGGCAGACGTCACCCCATTCTCATACCAAAAGACAACCACGTCGCCAGGTTGATCGTCTAGCATTTTCATTGTGAAGTGCAACACCAAGGGAGACACACCACCTTTGCCGCAGTGCGGAGTGGAGGCGAATGGATCATCGGTGCCCATAATCTGGTCAGAAGCATCATTGATCAGTGCACCTTCTGCTGCAAGTTAAGGGGCAAATTCACTACCCAAGTTATGACCGATCTCCCCAAAGACAGGGTGGCAGTTACACTCCCATTCACGAACGCAGGAATGAACATGTTTGGACCGTGGCCAGTCACCATGAGGAAAACGCGAAGCAGCTCACCCAAGGCTAAAAGATGGGCAGTCATTTTCACTTGCCTATGTACAAGAGCCATACACATTGAAGTCACTGAGTCCCTTGACACTCCAGCCTTCATTTCAGCTCTAAGATGCTTGATCTCACTCTGTGGCCCTGTAGCTCGCTTGAGGTGTGACAGGGACTAACTTCATTGGCGCTGAAGGAGAACTTGACCGAGAGGAAACAACACAGCACTTGGCGACCAAGAACTATGAATGGGTATTTAATCCACCCAAAGCATCCCACTTTGGAGGAGTATGGGAACGAAACATTCAAAATGTCCGTCGCATCCTACATTCAATGTTCGCTCAACTGGGACGACACCAGCTTACCCACAAAACACTTGTCACCTTCATGGCAGAGGCATGCGCCATTGTGAATTCCTCACAATGTCCTCAGATGCAAATGATCCTCAAGCACTCACTCCTGCCATGCTGCTTACCTGCTTGCAGGTACTTACTTGCAGTACAACGTTGTAATAGCGTGGGCACCATTTCAGCAAGCAATACGCCTGCGCGATACACATTAATGCACAGGCGGTGGAGAATCAAACGAACCTGCATCCTCGACAGAGCGATTTTTTCCATTGGCAAATTGATATGAGTCAAAACACTTCGGAATAATTGTTTTTAAAAACTGGAGTACTACTCGTTCAAGCCGTTTCATTAGATTAGACGTCATAGCCCAGGCCTACTGTCATTCATACATGTAACTGGAATCCGTTTCGGGATCGGTACGCTTTCAGACTTTTTTAGGTTGTGTGGAATGACACAAATCCGCAAAGACCAGCTATAGAGAAGAGTTGCAATACCGTAAAGTTCATCCGCGCACAGTCTTAGGAGCTTTTTGGAGATGCCATCTGGACCTGTTGCTTTTCTCACATTTAGAGATTTGAATGCGTGTCTGGTGTTCGTGTCATCAATAATTAAATCAAGGTGTAATCTTCCTGGGTGTAAAACGCAACCCCACCACCCCGTTTAGTTTATTGACAAGAGCCTTAAAGGGTCACGGAAGACCTCCGTGGACAAATTTTAATTAGTAGTATGCTAGTATGCCAGTAACATGATAGGGGGAAAACGGATAAATTCCCTTTGTTTTAAATGGATGGATTAATCCTGACATAACAGGTGATATGTGTCACGTAAATTTGAGAACCCACAATTAGAGTCAGGTACCCTTTTGGTACTTCTGGAATGGAGAGGACACCCAATGTTCGTGCCCGCGGAATGAAATACATGTACACATCGTCGATGCCTGCGTTTCATGAAAAATCCTCTTCATCTTTGTTCACGGGCATTCTTTGATCTGTCGAAGATCGTGGGTGCAGCGTCTGAGGGGAGCAATCGTTTAAATTTAAGCCCAAACGAGTCATACAAGTTCAAAAGAAAACACGTAGCTAGAAAAGCGCACTGTACATTTTGGAGCTCGCTGTCAGTTCTGACCAGTTGGCTCTGGTCAGTCTGACTTTTGATGTCCAAATTTGTCTCAGTTTCGCTTCGGTTGGAAAGTTATGCAGACTTGTCCGATCTTTTTGTAGGTGCAACAAATCCGGTCGGCATCATGAAAATTTCTGTTCATTTTTTAGGTGAGTTTAGAAACTCACCAAAAAACTTAGACTGGATTTTTGAACTCGACCTAAGACAAGCTGCATTAAAGGGTAACAGAAATTGAAAGCATTTAGTTCACATGAAATATTTCAAAATAACAAGAAATTCATAGCATTTAAAAAAATCATAAATTTAATGTTTACCCCATTAATTGTGACCCCAAACTAAATTAAAAGATCCTGAGTTTCCCTGCTCACAAAAATCGCCTTTTGGTACAGAACTCCCACACAACATGCAAAAAATTTCAAATCACTCCAATTTAAACCAAATTCACTTTCCTGGGTTGAAATTTCGACCGTGTATCCTTTATATAAAACACCTCAATTTGTGACGGATTTTTACCCATCAAAAATTTCACCTTTTTGAGTTATTTCCAAATATCACTTTCGTGAAATTCTTGTGGGGTACCAATTCCACAAGGTAAAAACTGGCCTTGTGGGGTACTACCCATTGTTCCAGTACCCTACAAGGCCCCATGTATAAGCGCAAGAAATACACGTTAGGACTGGGTCTTATTTCTTCCTTGAAATGAGACAGTGTTTACCTATAGGCCAGGCTACATCAAACACAATTGCATGTGTGCGATACTGCATATACTGTGCGCCATGTAATGTTCAATGTACACTGTACATGAACTGACAGAGTGTTTGTCTGTGGGCCAAGCTACATCAAACACGTGGTCTTCGTAGTTTCGGAGATGGCCTAACGTGGCGTGAGTCATCAGTGGTGCATAGTCATTAATCAAGGCGCGCGTGGCAACCAGTTCCACATGTGTACTCAGGACGAGCTTTGCCACTCGCTCTGCACAGCCTGTCTGCCATTTTTTGTGTGCTTCACGTGTCCAGGTGAGCCGTGACTGAATGTGCAGTGCGCGCGTGCAGTAAAGTATATAGAAAGCAAATTGATGCACGCAACCGACCTTGTTGTCCAATGTGCAAGTTTTTGTGAATTATCATGATCATTTGCAGAATGCGTTGGATTTTGAGCTTTATGCGTGTGAACGTGAGATTTGATCAAAATGCGTGTGTCTCACACCTAATGCGTGAGACTTGGCAGGTATGTCTTATGGAGGGCAACATCACCGGTTATACTTGCTTGGAAAAAAATCGCCTCAAAATAAATTCCTCTGAGGCTTTTGGAAAAAGCCTTGCAGAAAGGATTGATTGACAGCTCATTAGTTAAGGAATTAGGCTCTTATTCTGGCCGAAGTCTCTGAGGATACCGCCGGTTTGGCACAATACAGCACCATTTATGAGATTGTCGCGGTCGCCTTGTTGTACCATGGAGGTACTCGTTCTCGGTACTGGGAACTGCTGATTTCAGGAAACTGCTGATTTCAGTTCTTTGGTCTCTTTATTATCTGTCACACGATCAATGGTTTGTTGCAGCATAGGGTTGCAGTTTGATTTCCAGTCTGTATGGTGTTCCATATGATCATGGGGGTCCATGATATGATACACCTGCTACTAATAGTGTCAGTCACCCTGCGGATCTTGCATCTCTCGTGTCGTCCAGCGGTAAACATGACATCAACCAGCAAGCAACATATTTCCTCTTGACGAATACTCAGTCTTTGGTTATTAAGCTGATTTTTCATCAGAAGACATTGACATTATCACAGAGACTTGCTTGTGCGACTTTCTCAGCAATCGGATGCAGTGTGTTCTTTATAACCAGACTCAGTCAACATATAAATCACTGGCCAGTGTTCTACCTCAATTATGGTACTAACTTGGGACCTATTCGGTTTCAGGCCATCATTAATGATGCGGTAGGTGATGTTCTTAGTAATATAAGTTGTTGGAAATGTGTTGGTGATTTAACACTGGCTGAAAACTGTTCCTACTCACATAGCAGCCAGCTTTAGGGAATCCCTGATGTATTTTGTCAATGGACAGACAATAATGAGCTTTTTTTAAATCCAAGTGTCAATCTCTTCAAGTATGTTACAAACATGTAGCCCCCACCCCTGCCGTTCTTAAAATAAATGAAAGTCCCTTCAGTATGTCGACCAAGCTAAAATTCTGGGTGTTTGGATACTGAACGACCGACAAACAGTGTCAACAATCAAGTGACAAGTTTGTGATGTAAATCCAAAAGAAACTGTTAAGTTTGCTTGTTTCATGTTCAAAGTTTTAAGAATCTAGCAATTTTGTGTACACAAGTTGAGATCCAGTGTCTTGGATTACATCACAGTTTTGCTCATAAATGAACAAATTCATGTTGGTATAAAAAGCCCCACAATACAAATATGTAAACAAAATGAAACATGAAACACAAATGTGCTATTTGAACGATGTTAATCATTCTAATACGTAGACCCTTACGCAGCTACACTGTATACAGAGCAGTAAGACGGCTCATTCTGTAGTACTTTTGTATATTGTAGGGTGGAGTTTAACCTATGGGGATTCAGTAACAATGTTATTTTAGTAATTACAGAAGGAAATAAAATGACTTAAATGAATTATTTTTCTTGTCCCTATTTGATTCCTATGTGTTGGCAGGACGCTTGACAGAACAGTATCATGCAGGGTGTAGCGATCTGTTTGATCGTGCTATTTGTAGCAGTGTGCAGGGTGGATGCAAGACCGAGAGATCACAAGGTATGTGTCGATAAGGAGTTGTTTATATAACAGTTTTACAGTGTTTTCTTTAAACTTTTCAAAGTTTCTTCAACCAACATGATTGGGAAGCTGTGACTTGACTTTTTCCCATAAGTGCCTTAATTGCGTAAAAGCCATTTTGAAAGTGTGTAGGTAACTGGGGTTGTAAATTGTATACAAGTAGACAATTTGTGCATCCATGGTTACTTAATTTTGAAATTACAAAAAACAACAACCAAATTAGTGGTGGTATGGCCTGGCACGTTTTGACCTTTGGGTTAAAAATAAGAAAAAATTGTGTTTGGCTCGCTATAGCTGTGGAGATCTGATGATACAGGAAGAAGGGTTGGCTGCAAATTTATTTCCCAAATGGTATATCGGTTCCCTGTTTGGTGATTGGTCTGTTACATGCATATTTAATGCATGTAACCTAACAAACCAAACTTATGGCTCCTTTCCCACTTGTTATTTACAAGTTAAAAAAAGTTGTCAAACGAAAGAGAGAATCTGAATCTGAGGTGGAAGATTTCAAGTCAACTGTACTCCCAGCCAATCCACGCATTGGTTGCCAAGCTCCAGTGCATTTAAAACCTCTATACGTTATTATAAAAACCATTCCTTAAAGTTATGGAGAGAATTATGAATACTGCATAAGCACAGAGGGCCCTCTCTTTCGAAACTGTTAGATCTTGTTTTGGACAAAAAAATGCGGCCCTGCTGGCCCTGACAGAATTTGTTGATTGAACAAATGTTTGAACTAGTGTTTTACGTCCTGTTACCCTGTAAATGTATACAGTTTTTCCAAATTCAAACAGAGCGGAGCGTTACTGCTGATATTTTTTAATGAGGAAACAACAAATATATCATTTATATAAAAATTTCTGCTGGGCGGCATGATGTCAGTTCAGATTTTTAACTCGCAGTAAAGGGGCAAATTCACCCATCGTGCTAGGAATAATGTGCAGATGTTCCCAGCTGGTATCCGACCCGAGAATAATTACTCGATAGTCATGCTGGTCAGTAAGAACACAAAAACAAATTCAGTAGACTTCACATATTGGTTAAAAAATACTGTTTTCAGGGTTGTCCCCAGGATTTTTCAAAACTGTGGGGGATTTCCATTGTGATTTATCAACATTTTACGAAGCCATGGCGTGAAGTCCGGGGCCTGGCCAAGGGCCCCAAAAATTTTGGACTTCAGAAGCTCTCAGCTGCATTTTAGAGCATTTCCTGGGCTTTTCAAGAACCTTTTCTCAGGAAAACACTTCAAAGATTCAATAAGTTTTTTTTAAATTTTGGATATCAATATTTCAACAAATGACCAATTTTCCTTTCTGGACTACTAATTACATGTATAGGCACATATAGAGTCATTTCAAGTTTCAGACATGCAACAACATGTAGTGGGGGTATTAATCAATGATTTAAACACCTGTTTGTTTAGTTTTTTTTTTCAACCTTTGGTTTTGCTGATCAGACCTGAAACCACGAGCTCCATTCAGTTGAAAGGCAAAAATATTAGCTTAAAGGAATAAACAAATTGTCATAAAAAATATAAAACTATTTGGTCTTTATATAAAATAAAAGTTTAACAAAATAGAAAACTATACAACATGGCTTTTCTTGTATATCGGCAAGACAGAATACCCGCTGCAGGTGGCTGCTTCATCTTCCTTTGGGTTTCCCTCAGCGCGGACTGCTGATGTTATTGGCTTTAATAAAGCCTATCTTTGATTGAGTTTCTGCCATTATGTGGGAGACAAAACGCGGTGATATGGCAACAAAAAATATTGTCCCCAATGTAGATGCCATTAATGCTGTTACACAGGGCTACGGCTGCCTCCATGAAAAAAAGTTTGTGGGGTCGATGTTGTAAGTTGTGCGAATGGTGTAGTAGAAAATTTTAACCTTCGTATATGCAGCCCCACTAGCGTATTGAGCACACGGCAAAGAGAAAACACACATATGATGGTTCATGTACGACACCCCTCAGGGCTTGAAATTGGGCTAATCATCATGGGAGCAACTACATGTACTTGCTCCCTAGACTGCTGAATTTGTCACTTTACGGGAGCAAGTAGCAGTAGCTCCCAATACAATATTAGAGACATATGTTCAAGAAATAAATGTTTTACATCAATCATTGTACCCCATTAGACCTAGCCCCCATGTATAGAGTGTACAAGTACATGTATGTAATATAGTTGTACTCCTGCATCTGACACACAGTAAACCAAGTAACCATCAGAACAACTCAAGCTTGTGTCAAGCACACGATATTACAGTCTGGCGATGCGCCCCCCCCCAAATTCCTTGGAAAGCCTATCGCGTACTACCTGCGGGCGCATGGCTGCGGATTGTAAACACTCTGACTCCTGCTCACCCGCGGACCTAAATAACCAACATGAAAACCCCCTGTAAAGCCCTCTAACAACATGGAAGTCGCATGTCTGTTGGGATACTGTTCCAAACATGAAAGCAATACAAATAGTTTAATTGGAGTTGGAAGTGCAAAAATTGGTAGGCTTACCCTGAGCTTGAGGTGCGGCTTTTGGAATAACCAAGGAGTGTGATGGTTGCGGCTGTGCAGAAAGCTGGGACTGGATGCCATGCTGAAAAACTGTATCTGGCGCTCGCCTGTTATTAGAAAAACGCTTGCCTTTGGCAGTACGGTCACCTGCAGAATTTGTCGCATTGTTATTGGACCGGCCGCTGGGCTGCAAGCCAGAGCAACAGCCCGTTGCACCATGACCATAGCAAAAACAACTGCTGCATTTGTGAGCAACCTTGCAAGATGCATACATGTACCTACAGCCCGTGGCCTTGTTGAACGCATAGCACAACCCAACCCAAGTCCTACTGCTACTATTTGAACCAGCAAGCCCAAATTTTGGGTGAGTACTATGCCCAGTGGAAGTAGCAGCAGCAACCGTGACCCACAGTTCGATATCCATATCCCCCCAACTACATGTACTTGTAGGGTCAGCCGCACGCTGCAAACAACTGTTCGCCGTAAGCCTGCCAACCAAACCCAGGGAACTAAACAAATGCCAACCTGATTGTTAACCATATATAGCTCCATAGCTCGAGAGGGGTGTTTCTCAAGGAAAATGGACATGAACACAATGGAAGGCTGAACTCCACTTGTCGAAAGTATCTTTTGCTTATTGGGGATGCAAGGCGGGTTGGAGGACCATCCCATTCGCCTCATTTAGCCCCAAAACCAACTCAGTGTTCTGCCGCTGGCTGTGGGCCAGCAGTTGAATTGAGTTGTCGCTCAGCAGCTGGGAAAAATCCACAAACTGTCGATTCTAAATTTTTTGCTTGACTGACTATGGGATTGCAAACCCCAATGCGTTGCCCACTTTAAAACTCTCGACGGCAGTCGGCAGGCCCATCTGTGAAGGCAAGCAAGCACTCAATGGGGAAAACTGGGAAGTTTGGCTTTCAACCAATGCTACGCCAGCAGTAGGGTTTGCCCTATTCTGCCCAGAACACCTCCAACGTCACTGCCATAAATCATGTTACCACCAGTAGAAGTACGGCTGTTACTGCTACTAAGATTACAAGCACATGTATTACAAGTATTACGGGCTGGGCCTAACTCACCAACCATGCTGCTGCTAGTGTTAGCTGTGGACCTGGGCATGGGCCCCGGCAAAGTGCCCATCCATCCTGTTGATGACTTTGCCGCAAGAGTACATGTAGGTCAAAGATTTAGGGTACTAGCCATCCCCAATGAGGCAGTCACTGAACAGTCACCGTTGGCTGGCGTTGCTGTTGTCAGTGATCCTGTCACTGCGGCGGCTGCACCGAGACGGCAGACACGGTAGCAAGATTCCGGGCCAATCACTTGGGTCTCAATCTCCTCGCTGCTGGTAGCATCACACTGTTGATTGTGCAGCTTGACAAGTCTCTCAGTATTGTCATTAGAGCAACTGGACCACGCAACGCTACAATAATTGAATAAAGGCAAAATCATAGTGCAACTAAGCATTTTAAAGATCGAAGCAGGAAGACAAGGTTTAGTGGACCGCCGAAGAAAACTTAGTTTTTGCAAGATTTTCTTAGCAACAAAGTTGATGTGATCGGACCATGATAGTGACTCGTCGGGCATAACCCCAAGTGTTTAAAACGATTGACACACTCTAAAGTCTATCCGTTTGAAGCAATTTGAATATCCTCAACGTGAGATAAGCGATGGCGGGTGCCAAAAACCATGAACTTTGTTTTGCTAACATTCAGGGTGAGCTTGTGTTCGTGTAACCATTTACACACGTGCTCCATGCCTGCAATCATTCTATCATTCAGAAACTGTGTAGAGTTTCCTTTGAACATCAGCAGTGTATCATCTGAATACATATTCATTTTGCATTGAGGAACAGTAATGCTTGATGGGAGAGAGTTAATAAAAACAGTAAAAAACAGAAGACCCAGTATTGAACCTTGTGGTACTCCAACTTGAACACTTTCAAAGTCTGATAAAGCATCGTCAAATTTGGTAGCCCGTACCCTTCCACTTAAATAAGAATCGAACCATTTCAACTCAAGGCCCCTGACCCCGCAACCATGTAATTTTGATAGAAGAATGTCATGGTTGACGGTATCAAATCCTTTTTTTAGATCCAAAAAAATAGCACCTGTAATGTTACCAGAATCCATATTATGCAAAATGAAATCAGTAACATCAACAACGGTGGTCTGAGTAGAATGATGCAGTCTGAAACCCGACTGCTGCTCAGCAAAAAATTTATCTGATCGAGGAAGTCACAAAGTTGATTATTTACAGCCCTTTCCAGAATCTTAGACTCAAGTGGGAAAACTGAAATGGGTCTTTAATTACTGATCTCATCTTGATCACCACCTTTGATTATTGGGATGACTCTTGTAGTCTTCTATTTTCGAGGAACAACACCTGGAGAAAGAGATTTATTTATAATTATAGACAGGCCAGCGACGGGCATATGGCTGGGCATTTTGCTTTCACTAGCTTGCAAGAG